CCCCTACCCACTTTGATGCATTTTTCAAATTTCGCCTTGGGGCGGAGTTATCTTTTCACAGGGGGTAAGTTACACTTTAAGCCAGCAGTTTCCCTCAGCACTCTGCCAGTTTATCATCAGCCAGTCTATGATTCACCAGCATTTTTGTCCCATGTCCTGTTCGGATCTCGGCTCCTCGACCCCCTTCTCGTCCCTTGGATTACCGCCTCTTGCCTCAGCCCGTGTCAGATACCTTCTGCCATCTGCTCTTCTGGTAATGACCCTGTTTCTGTTTCTCGGACTCCTGCCCCTCGTCTTTCCCTTTCTCGGCACCACGACACCTTAGACTTCCTGGTTCTCGACCCCTGCCTGCCTCCCGGATTCAAGAGTTAAGTTTGCTCCTCTTAACCTGTTGTGTTCTCTGATCCCTCTGTGTATGACCCTCGTCTGTCCCTGGACCCCGGACCAGTTTCTCGGACCCGCAACGCTCCCAAGGATTGTCGGTGACGTCATCGTGTTTCTCTGGAACCAAACTGACACAGTCGGTGCTTCCACACGGAGGCTCCCAGTTGACACCAGGTTAGTGGCTAAAAATACTAGTAATATTTTGTCCCAGAGTCTTACAGCCACTAACCTGTTTTTTCTGTGTCCAGAAAACCGGACCCACGCACCTGGGTCGTTCCAGCTCCACACCAGCAATTTTAATAAAATTTGTAAACCTTTATCTGTTTTCGGGCTTTTATCAGAGCTCAAACTCAGATCCCTAACAAACTTGTTAAGATGGACAGTTATTGCAGTGTGGAGGGTTAGCCGACATGYTATTGTTAGTGGCCCGGGTGTTGTGGCTTGGGGGTCGGTCAGACCAGTTGGAGTTTATGGGCTTCCTGGAGGAGAATCTGCGGCGGAAGCCATGGTGTATATATCGTCGTCGAGGCTGGAAGGCGATGTCCTGAGGAAGTAGTGGCGGTGGTGGTGATGCGCCCGGTAGGAACAGTAGACGGAGTAGTTCTGGTCTCGAGTAATGGAGGAGTCCAGAGACCAGGTGGTGGAGGATGACCATCTGGAGGATCTAAATCAGAGCGGGCAGCAGGCAAATCTTATTAATCCACATGGTTGGATGAAGCAGGGACTTGTCGTAGTAATCCACCAGCAGAAGATCCGTGAAGGAGGGATAAAAGAGTAGATTAAGCCAAAAAAAGACAAAAGCCCAACGAGCAGCGGCAGCCAGGATGAGCCAGCGTTCACTCGCCGAAGCTTTTAGAGGACCTGTTGCCGTGGAAACACATCTGCCTCCTCTTTTGTGCAACAGAATCAAAGGTCATTTAATTCAGGATCACACCAAAATTTTAGCTTAATCTCTTATCCATGTTTGATGAATTTCTAATGATCTGTCATAATGAGAATATTTAATTATCAAAACACAGAGCTGAAGGTGAAAACTGATGTTTAATATTTAAACCAGCAAAAGTTATTTAAAGGTTAAAACAATCATACAACCTCATTTCAATATGAGTCTGATTAAAAAGGGTGAATAAATGTAGGTTAATAACTGACCTGGTTCCCCAACAGGCAAAATAGTGGTGTAGGACAGAAAGAGTTAATCACCCTTTCTGTTTCTCTCCTAATAACTCGCTACAGAAGTTTGGAAAGAGAAAATTCAAAACTGTCGTTTTCAAGTTGAACTTTTGAACTGAATGAAACATTTATAAATCAGTAAATTCTGAAGGATCAGTGAATGATTTTAGTTGGACAAAAATAGAAAACCTCCAACAGCTGCAGTGAACTGACCTCAGAACCTCCAGTCTACAGTTTGGACTCTCCAGTCCAGAACACAGGAGCGTGACTGCAGAGTCAGACAGGTTGTTTTCACTCAGGTCCAGATGTGTCAGATGGGAGGGGTTGGACTTCAGAGCTGAGGCCACAACTTCACAGTAAGGCTCTGAGAGTAGAGTTCCAGTAGCTCTGTGAAAACTAAAGTCAGTTATAATTAAATCAGCTGATCTGTCTGATAAAAACTGAAACCATCTGATGAGTAAACAGTGATGTCATCATCTGATGAACATCTGTTCATCTCATCTGACTGTTTGATTCAGTGAATCTCTGCAGACTTTAATTTTTCTTTAAAGGGACAATATTATGTGTTTCTCAGACATATATTTAAATACTATACCATAATAAAATTTATATGTCACCTTTAGCTGTTATTAAAATGCTGTTTTTATGCTTAAATAGAAAATAAACTTATCTTCTCATCCAACCCATTCTCACTCCCGAGTCGTCACATATTGACGCTTTTCCAAAGTTCCTTCTGCGTTCGATTTTGACGCTTCTGGCACTCCCCTTGCGTCATTTTTTGACGAGATGGGCGGAATCTGTTGTCATAATTTCTGAAAGTGTAGAAGATGCACAAAAACTACCATCCCAAATCCTAAAATTACCTTTATTGACTTTAGACATCCTGTCCCTGAACCTAGTACCTAAAATTAACCATTAACCCTGATACCTAAAATTAACCATTAACCCTGATACCTAAAATTAAC